CAAATGGTCAGTCCGCCTCTGGGCGTGAACATACCCCATAGGAAATCACGGTAAATGGATTTTACTGCGTTTTTGCAAAACGCTGCAGAAAACGCTTAGGTGTGAACCTAGGGTAAGTCTAAGCGTTTTTGCAGTGTTTTGCAGAAATGCACTACAGTCCATTTAACATGATTTCCTATGGGACAGGTTCACATCTCTGCGTTTTCACCCGGTGCGTTTTTTTGGAAAGGGTCAGGGACTTTTTAAAAAGCAAAACTTTGCGTTTTTGGTTCCATAGACTTCAATAGAAATGCTGCAGAAAAGCATGTAGTGCATTTTTGCTGTGTTTTGCGTTTTAATCTGTCTAGCATCAAGAAATAAAAAGAAAAATGCGTCAAAAACGCATGTGCAAAAAACACCGTAAAAAGCACTGCAGAAACAGATCAAACGCAAACTGCATGGGTGTGAACCTAGCCTAACTGCACATTCAATCAGGGTGATCAGTTTTCCACATTGATCTGATAACAAAACAGGTGGAAGTTTCCAAAAACTGGAGCACTCACAATGTGGCGCATTTGTACATGGCAGCCAATCAGCATCTGACTTCATCTTGTTCAATGAGGCTTTGATAATAAAACCTGGAAGCTGATTGGTTTCTATGCAGAGCTGCACCAGATTCTGCACCATGCAGTTTTAATAAATACCCCCCATTGTATATAATAAAATATATAGAATGACCCCCTTCTGCACCGATCTAGGCAGGTACGGTCGATTCCATTTATTGGAAACAAGGGGTGTAATAGTCTGTGCCAACCTCCATGCTAAGACTGCCAGATCAGAGTATGACATGCGAAGGCAAGGTACAGAAATACTGTCAGGTGCGGCAGAGGTTAGTTGCGGTGTGACATGGTATGACCTAATTTTCTCACCCCCCCCCCCATTAGTAATGTTGCAGTCAGTCAGAACGCAGGCCAGGGCGGATGGGATCGGAACCATTAAGCTTTTGCTAGGTGTGGTAAGTGTGAATACCACGTGCCTCCAAGGCAAGCTGGGCGGTTCCATCGTAGAATTATCAGGGGAATTGGGCGGAACAATTGTATATTTATTCAGAGAGGTAGGCGGGGTCACTGTACGGTTCTCGGTGAGGTGGTGTGACCAGCATACAGCGATCAGGGGAGGTGGGCGGAGATATAGTACCTTTGTCCCGGGGTGGTAGGCGGGGATATGTTATATTTACTCCTGGAGACGCCAGCGCTGAGTCATAGTGACAACTGCGGGAAGGAGAGATCCGGATCTCAGGGACAGAACCATGCCGGGTACAGGGAGAGTCCGCATCCATGTGGTGTACTGGTGAGTGCTGTGCTCTGTGCCATCATCTACATACCACGTGACCGCGCTGTCGGATATATGGACTCTTCATTGTAGAGGTTTAGTGTGTTTTTTTTGTTTTTTTTTGTAATGGGATTAGAGCCCCTGTCAGGTTATTGCTGTCCCTATAAGGCTCATTTTATGTGTAGGTAGGATTGCCATACCCAGGGGTGCACTGACAACTCATGGGGGCCCTGGGCAATAGGGGATCAAGGGGCCCCTGTGTCCTTCCCCACACTCAAAGTACACCCAAAAAAAGCCTATAAAAGGTACCAGGGGCATTTCATGGGGCCCCCTACTGACCTCGGGCCCTCGGGCAGTGCTCGAATGGTCAGTCCGCCCCTGGCCATACCTGATCCACACCTGGATTGCTTTTCAGAGGACTTTGACAGGTGATACGTCATTCCTGACTGCCTGTTTTAATCCCAAAACAGAGATAAGTGACAGCAGGAAAAAAAGCTGCGTGTTCGTGTTCTATCGACTTATTTTATTTTTTCTGTGATTTCCCCTTTCCCTTCCCTTTTTTTTTTTTTTTTTTTATTTTTTTTTTATATATATATATATATATATATATATATACAGGTGTACCTCGGTTTACAGACGCCTTGGTTAACACAATTTTCGGTTTACAAATGAAAATCCATTGAGAATAATGCCTTCATTTACAATTTTTTTTCACAATACAAAGTGTATGTCGTCGCCAATTTGTCATTTCCCCCGAAGCTACAGGAGACACTGTTTCTTTTAACTCAGGAAATAAACTAAAAATAAATTTTCTTTTAGCTGGGGGGGGGGGGGGGGGGGTGACAGCTGAATCTCTGAGCTATAGTGAAGGAAAAAAAAGCGATTAATTAAATGTAAAAACTGCCACCATAATAAATAAAAACGTCGTGGGGTCCCCCCTTCCATCCATACTAAGCCCTTTGGGTCTGGTATGGGTTTTGAAGGGAGCCCCCATACCAAAATGAAGAAAAAAATTGTGTTGGGCTCTCCCCAAGATCCAGACCCTTAGCCGAGCGTGCAGCTCGGCAGGTCAGAAAAGGGGGGGGGGGAACGTACGAGTGCCCCCCCCCCTCCTCCTGAATCATACCAAGCCACATGTCCTCAACAACCCCAAAGCACCTTGTCCCCATGTTGATGGGGACAAGGGCCTCTTTCCTATAACCATGGATGGTGGTTGTGGGGGTCTGCGAGCAGGGGGCTTATCAGAATCTGGAAGCCCCCCTTAACAAGGGGGCCCCAGATCACAGCCCCACACATGTGAGTATGAGGTACATGATCCCACCAGGAGCGGACTGACCATTCGGGCACTGCCCGAGGGCCCGGGGTCAGTAGGGCGCCCCATGAGATGCCCCTGGTACCTTTTTCATAGGCTTTTTTGAGTTTGGGCAAGGACACAGGGGCCCCATGATCCCCTATTGCCCGGGGCCCCCATGAGTTGTCCGTCCGCCCCTGGATCCCACTACTGATTCACAAAAAAACAAAGTGTAGTGTGAAAAATGACAGGATACGGTCTTTGACCAGTCCTTTATGAAAAGAAAAACTTAGACTGTCCCCTGCAGTAGATCCAATGTCAATCACTATGTCTGCCGTTGTCAACCCGAAAAAAGAAAAAAAAAGGCTCTGCTCCTGGCCACCTACTTGCTCTGCTGGCTTGACCGTTCTTAAATCTGTAAAGGGCGGGGCCACCCAGTGACATCATGCGTGCGGCCCTACCTCCTTGTGGCATCATAACAAGGGCATGCTGGGTCAATGATGTCACAAGGAGGTGGGGCCACGTGTGATGTCACTGGGTGGCCATACCCCTTACATATTTAAAAACTATCAAGCCAGCTCAGAGGCAGATGGCCAGGAGCCATCGTTGGGAGCGGAGCCTTTTTTTTTTTTCGATTCTCTTTTCGGGGCAGCCATCGTGATTGACCTTGAATCTACTGCGGGGGACATTCTTTTGTTTTTTTCTTTTAATAAAGGACATGTCAAAGACCGTGTCCTGTCTTTTTTCACACTAGTTTTTTTTTTTTTTTTTTTGTGTGAATGAGTATTGGGACCGTGTACCCCACACTCATTCACATGGGGGTCTGGGATCTGGGTTCCGATAAGCCCCCTGTCCGCAGACCCCCACAACCACCGTCCAGGGTTGTGGGGAAGAGGCCCTTTTTTCCATCAACATAGGTACATGGTGCCTTGGGGGGGACCCACCCCTGCCCCAAAGCACCCCCCTATGTTGAGGGCATGTGGCCTGGTATGGTTCAGGAGGGGGGGTGGGGGAGCGCTTGCTTGTCTTTCCTGACCTGCTGGGCTGCATGGTCTGATAAGGGTCTGGTATGGATTTTGTGGGGGACCCCCACACCATTTTATTTTTACATTTTTCAAAATCCATACCAGACCCAAAGGGCTTGGTATGGATGGGAGGTGGGACCCCATGCCGTTTTTTTAAATTATTTTTTTTAATTGCCGGCAATTCTTTCTTTTACATTCAGCTGTCAGTGGGGAACACAGCTGAAACATTAACACATGGTTGTCCCCACTAAAATACCACATGACTTGATAAAATAACTCATGCTGTATTTTAGTAGTGTGTGTGATATTTTTTTTTTTTTTTTTGGGGGGGGGGGGGGGGGTTTTGTGCACTGCAAATGTGTGCATACAGTTGCACCAACGGGGTGTGTTTGGTGGGTGGTAGGGCCAGTGAAACACAACAGGGGGGTTTAATTCCTATTCCTGCCACAAAGCAAGTCATCACAGGTGCAGCATATGTACACCCCACCCATACCCGCTGCCACTGATTAAAGTGGATTTCCAACCTGGCTTATCTGGTGGTAATCTACACATTTCAGATGCTCCCCAGCCCATCAGATCCAGCATTATCCAGCTGAGATCGTCTTCTCTTCTGGCAGTGCTCAGTCCTGTGTCGCCATGTTTTGATGTGATGTCATAGAGCAGCTGCCAGCGCTTCCATATCCAGCAGGCGAACCTCACAACGATGCCCCTGCTGGGCCTGCCTCTTTATCTGTACTTAATGGAAGGCTTTATCTCCTGAGATATGTGATGTGTATATCCCAGGATGCAAAGGGGGGGGGGCTTAATGGTTAACAAAAAAAAAAGTTGAGCCATGTCTTTATGTTCTTAACCTCCCCCCCTTCAATAACCAGTCCTCCTCCAAGCAGGTCTTCACCCTCTAAAACATGAACTTTCCTCTCCATTCCAGCTCTGGTTCTGCATGAATAACGCTTGTGGTGAGGGAGCGCAGTGGCTAAGTTGTTACCACTTCCGCCTGGCAGCACAGGGGTCACTGGTTAGAATCCAAACCATGGCACCACCAGCCTGTAGTTTGCATGTTCTCCCTGTGCCTGCGTGGGTTTCCTGCGGGTACTCCAGTTTCCTCCCACACTCCAAAGACATGCTGGTAGGTTAATTGGATCCTGTCTAAATTGTCCCTAGTATGTGTATGTATGAATGTGAGTTAGGGACCTTAGATTGTACACCCCTTGAGGGTTAGGGACTGATGTGAATGTCCCGGGTGGGTCTGTCGAAGCGCATACACCATATAGTGGCACAGTATAAGTGAGACGACCACATAAACGAATATCCCAAAAGTTCCAATGTTTGTGCAGAAAACACAGTTCAGTCTTACTGCAGCACCAGAAGTGAGACTGCTACATGGAGGTCTTCCACAGCAATTCGGTTCAGATGTTTGTGAAAGAATTTTCAAAGAGAGGTTGTGGTTTCAGTCCAATACACATAATGGTGCCGTGAACTCCCAACCCTCACCTCTTCAGCAGATAACCCCACATGACTCCACACGTGTCTGATTGTGTGCTCGCCCCTCTGTAGGCCTCTACATCATAGGAGGGCTGTATGCGATTGCTAATATGATGGCTCCTCTGCTGCAGGAATCCCCCAGCATGCACTGCCAGATGTCTCCACTTATAATAGAAATCCTCCTCACTGTCTCCACCTAGAATTTGTACGTAAAGACCGCAGGAGCTAACAAGTAGCATAGACAGCAACTAAGGGACTCCAGCCTGCAATCTTCTGAGCCGAAGTCAGGACACCTTATCCATTAGGCCATGCAGTCTACTAGGTGGAGACAGGCGCATGATGTCCAATCTGCTGGAAAGGGTACATACCAGTGTGCAGGGGGTGCTGGAAAGGGTACATACCTGTGTGCTGGAAAGGGTACATACCAGTGCGCAGAGGGTGCTGGAAAGGGTACATACCAGTGCGCAGAGGGTGCTGGAAAGGGTACATACCAGTGCGCAGAGGGTGCTGGAAAGGGTACATACCAGTGCGCAGAGGGTGCTGGAAAGGGTACATACCAGTGCGCAGAGGGTGCTGGAAAGGGTACATACCAGTGCGCAGAGGGTGCTGGAAAGGGTACATACCAGTGCGCAGAGGGTGCTGGAAAGGGTACATACCAGGGGCAGAGGGCTGGAAAGGGTACATACCTGTGTGCTGGAAAGGGTACATACCCGTGTGCAGAGGGTGCTGGAAAGGGTACATACCAGTGTGCTGGCAAGGGTACATACCAGTGTGCAGAGGGTGCTGGAAAGGGTACATACCAGTGTGCAGAGGGTGCTGGCAAGGGTACATACCTGTGTGCAGAGGGTGCTGGAAAGGGTACATACCAGTGTGCAGAGGGTGCTGGCAAGGGTACATACCTGTGTGCTGGAAAGGGTACATACCAGTGTGCAGAGGGTGCTGGAAAGGGTACATACCAGTGTGCAGAGGGTGCTGGCAAGGGTACATACCTGTGTGCTGGAAAGGGTACATACCAGTGTGCAGAGGGTGCTGGAAAGGGTACATACCAGTGTGCAGAGGGTGCTGGCAAGGGTACATACCTGTGTGCAGAGGGTGCTGGCAAGGGTACATACCTGTGTGCAGAGGGTGCTGGCAAGGGTACATACCTGTGTGCAGAGGGTGCTGGCAAGGGTACATACCTGTGTGCAGAGGGTGCTGGAAAGGGTACATACCTGTGTGCAGAACGACCTTCAAAATTTCAGAATCATGATGTCCTCACGTTATTTGGAAGCTGGTGGCAGTGTCGATGCGGAGGATCGATCAGAGCCGATGCCGGACTGCTGCATGCTTTCTGCAAGCTGTATATCTTTAGGATTTTATGAACAGTTTTTTCTATACTTTTTAATTAACCACTTGCCTACCAGGCACTTATACCCCCTTCCTTACCAGGCCAATTTTCAGCTTTCAGCGCTGCCGCACTTTGACAATTGCGTGGTCATGCAACATTGTACCCATATGAAATTTTGATCATTTTTTTCTCACAAATAGAGCTTTCTTTTGGTGGTATTTAATCGCCACTGGGCGCTTTACTTTTTGCGCTATAAATTAAAAAAAGTGCAAAAAATTTGAAAAAAAAAAAAAAGTTTATCTGTTTCTTTTATAAAATTTTTCAAACAGGTATTTTTTCTCCTTCACTGATTTGCGTTGATGAGGGCACTGATAGGCGGCACTGATAGGCGGCACTGATAGGCGGCACTGACTGGCATCACTTCTGGGCACTGACTGGCGGCACTGACTGGCACAACCCCTGGGCACTGGTGGGTGGCACTGGTGGGTGGCACTGGTGGGCACAGGTGGGTGGGCACAGGTGGGTGGCACTACTGGACACATGTAGGTGGCACTGCAGAGTGGCACAGGTGGGGGCACTGCTGGGCACAGGTGGGGGCACTGCTGGGAACGGGTGGGCGGGGCTAGTGGGCACACTGCTGGGCGGAACTTGCGGGTGTCACTGCTGGGCACCGATCATCAGGGCACTGATCATCAGTGCCCTGATGATCGGTGCCGATCCCCGCTCTGACAACTGCCGGTTCTCGGCAGTACTTTCCTCACGATCTGACAGCGTGAGGAAAGTGCAGCCGAGAACCGGCACTTGCATTTCCCTGTGATCAGCGTGTCATTGGACACCGCTGATCACGTGGTAAAAGGCCGGTGGGATCGGCCTTTCACCACATCACGTGATCAGCTGTGTCCGTAGGACACAGCGATCACGGAGATCGCCGGGTGCGCGCCCCCTGGGGCGCGCAGGAGAGCGCGTTCTGGGAGGACGTCATATGACGTCCACTCAGAACTGGCCGGCCGCGGTGAAGCCGTCATTCGGCTATGCGCGGTCGGCAAGAGGTTAAAAAAAAAAACAAAAAACAGATCTTTCCTTTTATTTGAGCGTGGAGGAGGATGATTTTTAGTAAAAGTGGAGACATCTGGATATCTTGGCAGTGCATGGTGGGGGATTCCTGCATCATATTAGCAGGCCGTTTTTAAAATGCTCTGTTTGGCAGAAAAATCGACTGACGCTTGTAAAATTGTCTAATGCTTTTAAAAGCGTTTAGGTGCATCTTCTGGGAGTCCAGCGCTTGGGCATCAATTCATTCCATTGGCCATTGAAATGGATAAAAGACTTGCACACCCTAAATATGAGTGTAATACGTTACATGCTCCAAAGGTGAACTTAATCCTTTAACCACTTGATCCCCTTCATGACCAGGCCATTTTTTGCGATACTGCGCTGCATTACTTTAACTGACATTTGCGTGGTCCTGCAAAAATGTACATAAATGAAGTTACGGTAGTGTAATTTTTTTCCCCCCACAAATAAAGCTTTCTTTTAGTGGTGTATGATCTCCTCCTTGGGTTTTTTTTTTGTTTGCACTATAAATGAAAAAAAACTAACATGTAGGAGAATACACATTTTGGTTAATTTATGAGCATTTGATTTTTTTTTTTTTTAAACCAAAAATATGTATGAGTATAGACATTTTGGCCAAAATTTATGACCATTTGATTTTTTTTTTTTTTATTGGATGTTTTATAGCAGAAAGTAATTTTTTTTTCTCTTTTTAAGATAAAAAATTATTTTCTGCTATAAAACATATCCAATAAAAAATCAAATGCTCATAAATTTAGGCCAAAATGTTTATTCTCCTACATATTTTTGGTTTAAAAAAAAAAAAAAAAAAAAAAAAAACTGTTTGCGCAAGTTATAGCATCTACAAATACTAGAATTTTTTTTTTTTTTTTTTTTCATACTAGTAATGGCGGCAAGCAGCAACTTATAACGGGACTGGGATATTGTGGTGGACAGTCTGACACTAACTGACACTCTGTGGGAGCCAGTGACTGTATTAATGGCACTGGCTGGGAGTGGGTTAAACGTCTAGGGTAATAAAAGGGTTAATTGTATGCCTAGCCACTGTTTGTGTGTGCTGTGTAATATTTTTACTAGGCAATCTGCTAGAATTTATTCCCCCAATAAAATCTAGCAGTTCACTGTTGACTTGATACAACTCTGCTTTATTTACATAGGCAGAGCTGTTATGTCTCCTGGGAGATCAAAGGTGCCAGCACTCCTCCATTGCCAGCACTTGTTGATCAGCTTCTGCTGTGTCCAGTCACAGCAGAAGCTGCTCTCTGGCAGCAGGCGCACGCCCCCCAGTGGCAGAAGTGAAAAATTACATTTATATGCTTGATTTGATGCCTGCCCTGTAGCAGTAAATCTGCTATAGAGTGGATGGTAAGTGGTTAAAGCAGATGATTTTCTTGTTTTCAAAACCAATGTTTGTTTTTAGCTTGAGTACAAAAGGTTCAAAAAGTGTGTCCAAACGCGCGAGTGCGTTTTTTTTTTTTTTTTTTTGTTCATTTTTGGCACATTTGTCCATGGATTTCAATGGGGAGGTTTACTGCAGGATTTAAAAAAAAAATGCAGCAGACCCGCAGTCAGTGTGACGAGTTCCATAGAATTACATGGTCACACATTTCTGCTTTTTTCTTTCCTTTTTTTTACGCAAAAGTGTGAAAGCAGTCTAGGGTGCAGAATGGGAAATTCTTGCATTTCTTCTCTAATGGCAAATGTAGTTTTTGTTCAGGAAATCCAAAACCTTTTTTGAAATCCAAAACTTTTGAGTCATTGAATGTACTGGTGAGAATTTTCATACAAATGTTAGTTCAAAAAATCTACAAATGTATGGCCAGCTGTATGTATTGTAAATGCATAAAAATGCAGTCATTAATGTAATATTTTTTTTTTTTTTCTTAGTGGAGCTTGAGGGTATGGCCCTAAGGTAAGACTCTTTTCTCTAATGTGGTTAAAGGGTGTAAATTCTTGGGTTTTAGGCAGCCCTTGCACAATCCATCAAGGTCCATGGTTTCCACACCTACTGTATTGTCAAACCGTCATGGTGGAGGTAGCTTCAAGTTTTGGGGTCATCTTGGGTCTTTAATGAGCAGACCTGAAATTCATACAACATTTTACATGTCATGCCCTGCAGACTTCAGTTAAGGGATGCAATGATTGCTGTTGGTTGGATACTCACAATGGCATGCTCATTAATACAGTTCTCTTTAGTTTCAGCAGTTGCAGAGGGACCTGGAAAAACGGTTCCCAGAACTGCTGGAATTTGTAAGTTTACCTTCCTTATATATAAATTGTACAAACTGTTGGTGGTATTGCAGTAAACGTCCTAATTTGTGTAACCTCTTCCAGCATAGTGAAGCTACCCCAACTGCTACAGGATGGTTTGAAGTGGAAGTTAATGGAAAGCTTGTGCACTCAAAGAAGGTAAGATGTCCTGATTAAGCCAAGTTTCATTAATCCAAGTACTGGAAGTAGCTGTATTGTCCTGCAGTAGTTGGTGACCTTTTAAAGTGATTCTAAAGCAGTGGTTCTCAACCTTTCTAACGCCGCGACCCCTTAATACAGTTCCTCATGTTGTGGTGACCCCCAACCATAAAATTATTTTCGTTGCTACTTCAGAACTGTAATTTTGCAGTGGGAGGAATAGTGTCCCATCATTGGTATCAGTGGGAGGAATAGTGTCCCATCGTTGGTATCAGTGGGAGGAATAGTGTCCCATCGTTGGTATCAGTGGGAGGAATAGCGCCCCATCACTGATGTCAGTGGGAGGAATAGTGCCCCATCATTGGTGTCAGTGGGAGGAATAGTGCCCCATCATTGGTGTCAGTGGGAGGAATAGTGTCCTGCCATTGGTGTCAGTGGGAGGAATAGTGTCCCATCGTTGGTATCAGTGGGAGGAATAGTGTCCCGCCATTGGTGTCAGTGGGAGGAATAGTGCCCCATCATTGGTATCAGTGGGAGGAATAGTGCCTCATCATTGGTGTCAGTGGGAGGAATAGTGCCCCATCATTGGTGTCAGTGGGAGGAATAGTGCCCCATCATTGGTGTCAGTGGGAGGAATAGTGCCCCATCATTGGTGTCAGTGGGAGGAATAGTGCCCCATCATTGGTATCAGTGGGAGGAATAGTGCCCCATCATTGGTATCAGTGGGAGGAATAGTGCCCCATCATTGGTATCAGTGGGAGGAATAGTGCCCCATCATTGGTATCAGTGGGAGGAATAGTGCCCCATCATTGGTATCAGTGGGGGGAGGAATAGTGCCCCATCATTGGTATCAGTGGGGGGAGGAATAGTGCCCCATCATTGGTGTCAGTGGGGGGAGGAATAGTGCCCCATCGTTGGTGTCAGTGGGGGGAGGAATAGTGCCTATCATTGGTGTCAGTGGGGGGAGGAATAGTGCCTATCATTGGTGTCAGTGGGGGGAGGAATAGTGCCCCATCGTTGGTGTCAGTGGGGGGAGGAATAGTGCCCCATCGTTGGTATTAGTGACACAAATGATGGGGCACTATTCCTCCCACTGACACCAATGATACTTACCTTGCTGACCCCTGCTCCAGCCTGGGCTCGCTCTCTCCCTCTCCCATCTACAGCCTGCAGAAGCAAAATTTCCACTTACTGTCAGCTGTCTTCCTTCTCTGGCCTCTCTCCTCTTCACTCGGTCCTGCAGCTCCCTCGATCTTCTTCGATCTGCGCGCTCTGCCGCTCGGCTCCTCCTCTCCAAGCTCCACCTCCTTGCCGGTGATTGGCTGCCTGTGTGCCTCTCCTGAGCTACAGTTCCGGTGGCCAATCAGCGGCGAGGAGGCGGAGCTGTTGAGTGATCCCGGAGGTGTGGCCAGGTTACAGGGGCAGCATATCACCCCGCCCACAGATCGCGAGACAGAGCAGCGGTGTCTTGGTTCCTAAGACCATCGGAAATATGTTTTCCGATGGTCTTAGGCGACCCCTGGGAAATGGTCGTTCGACCCCCAAAGGGGTCGCGACCCCCAGGTTGAGAACCGCTGTTCTAAAGGGTTTTGTTTGTAAAATAACAGATGTCTATACTTAGCAGTTTTGCACAGAGCAGCCTGGATCCTCCTCTTCTTCTCGGGTCCCTCGAAGGCTCTCCTGGCCCCATCTCCTGTGTGGTGCCCCCACAGCAAGCAGCTTGCTATGGGGGCACCTGCTGCTCAGTGTCCATTCACACAGTCGCAGCTTGGCCCTGTCCCCTCTCTCTCCTCATTGGTGAGCGGCTGTGATTGACCGCAGTGGGAGCCAATGACTCCCACTTAGTCTCAGCCAATGAGGTGGCAGAGACCTGGGACAGCCAAGGCTGTCGTTCACATCGTTGGATTGCAATGAGGCTCAGGTAATTGAGGGGGCTGGGGGCACTGCTTAACACAGGGTTTTTTTACCTTCATGCATAGAATGCATGAAGGTAAAAAACCTTAAGCCTTTACAACCACTTTAAGTGGATGAACAACTCATCTAGGTGGTGTAGGGCAGTGGTCTCTAAACTGCAGCCCATGAGGCCCTTTGCTTGCCTTTTTTCTGACCCTTGGGGAACTTTTGCTCCCACTGATACGAGGCACTATTCCTCCCACTAACACCAATGATGGGGCACTGATAATTCCCTAATACCAAAGATGGGACATTGTCTACTCCCAATGATGCCAGGAAATTTTTCTTCTCCCACTAGCCCTGATCCGGCTAAAGTCTGAGGGGTGTATGTGTGTCTGTAAATCACTTGATCCTGACATCTACACTCTATATAAGTTCAGAGCTGCTTTTCTAAGCTTCAGGGCTTGTTCACACTAGCGGCAAGAAATGCTGCTCCTTGCTTGGATCACTGTTCAAAGGCATTTGACAAACAACAAGGAGGCACTTTGTTGTCTCCTTACTTCCTGTTTTAACCCCCTAAATGCAGCACCACCATGTGCAATGCATGCAGTTGCAGCATGGTCTTATTCACCTGATGGGGTTGCATACAGAGGTGGTAATGCCCGCTGAACACAACAGGCAGTATAATTCCTGCCACAGCCACCAAACATCAGGCCACAGTATGTGTCCAACCCTGGCACTGCCTCTACAGCTAAAGGGAGAATAGTTGGTGATTGGGGAAAAAAAAAAGACATGGCTCAACAATGTTTTACCATCCCACAGCCTCATATATGAAAGGGCTCTTGGACTGGGGTGCCTTAAGATTGAAAATACTTTCAAAGGTCACCTTGACTGAAAAATAATTGAGAAACCCTGACCTAGAGCAACAGTAGGAAATCTTGGCACTCCAACCATTGAACCTCCCATGATGGCACTGCATTGCAAGATATCCACAGGCTTGACTCCTGGATGCAGAGTCGTGATAGGCTTTTTAGGTTACCAAAGCTGGATTGCTGAGGTTGCTTACCCCTGACCTCATAGACTTAGAAGGCATTAATCAGATTTCTTTATTGGCCTCTTACTGTGCTATACCCTGCACACACTTGCTTAAGTAACTGAATTGGACTTTGTATCTGCTTCTTGTAATATGTACAGTAGAACAGAGGCACTAGGGAGCAACCAGGTGTGTTGCATGCGCATGTACTGACTCCTGCCTTACTAATCATGGAGTGTCCACTGGCTGTGAGCAAGGAAGTGACTTAGCATATTTGCTTAAAGCAGAGCTACTTCTTTTTATACAAATGAAATATCTTATAAGATCAGGAGATGGGGAGGATTGGGAAGCTACAGAAATCCAATATTATATGCCTGATTAGAGAACTTTGCTGGGTAGCAATTAAAGGCAAAGTTCACCTGTTTTTAAGAAAAAAAAAAAAGCACATTTTTGCCAGAAAGTGAATTTTTGTATCACAGGAGCCTGTAAAGCATGGACATGCAATCTGTGGATTGTAGGTGCAATGACAGGCTTCCTCCAGCTCTCTGCCTGTACTGGTGAACATGTCAGTGGATGAAGCGTGCGGGTACCACACTCATATTCCATTGGGAACTAGAAGTCCATTTGCCACAGTGACACAACTTGTCATTTGTTCATTCACAGATCTCTGTGAATGAATGAAGCGGCTGTACAGGCAGAACCCTGTACAGCCATGTTTACTTCAAGTTTGACAGCTGCTATGCTGCAGAGAAGAACCCCCTGCGCACTGTCATGGGGAAGGGGGGGTCTTTGGGGGTGGGAGGGTTGCTTATCTACAAGTTACATCCTAAAAACATCTGTAACATGTTGCTAAAGGTAAAAGTGGCCTTTAAATCCCTTTTTTGGATGGTAGCACCTTTTAATTAGAGCCAGAGACTAAGCAAGATGGCATATGTATAATCTGAAAGAAGGTTAATGCAAAAGCTAACAGACCAGCAAGCATGCATGCAGAATTTTTCATTTGACATGTGTCCACTAGGAGGCAGCTTGTGATTAGATTAAATTCTGGTGCCGAAAACAAAAAATCAAAATGCACTTGACCGAAATGCGCAGTTTTTAAAAATGAATATATTTTTTGGAAAAAAATACTTTGATTTCATTCATAAAAAAAAAAATATATATATATATATACACACACACACACACCAATTTTGTTTGTAAAATATGAGTAAATAGATACCTAACATGTCACACTTTAAAATTGTGGAATGGCGTGAAACTGCGGTACTTAAAAAATCTCCATGGGTGATGCTTTAAAAATTTCTACAGGTTAGCAGTGCAAAGTTACAGAGGAGGTCTAGTGTGAGAATTATTGCTCTTGCTCTGGCGTTTGTGGCAATACCTCACATGTGTGGTTTGAACACCATTTACATATGTGGGCATAGCCTGCATATGTGTTCACCACTATGTGAGAGCACGGGGGGAACAGGGCACTTTAAACGTTTGTTTTGTTTTTTTGCACAGTTCCTTTTTAAAAAAAAAAAAAAAAACACTTTTATTCTGATCACAAGAAATGCGTGCATCCCTTGTCATAGAAATAATTAGTGACAGGTCCTCTTTATGGAGAGTTATGGGGTCAATAAGACCCCATATCTCTCCTCTGCAATGTAAAATTGGATCAAAAATAAGCATTGATCTAGTGCTTTAAAAAAAATGGCCAGAAGGGAAAGTGACATCGTTCCGGTCCTCCAAGGGCATAGAGCCCTTGCACCAGGATTAATGGCTTTTCAGGTAAGGCTGAACTACTGAGCGGTGGTGGCCGGCAGAAAGGGGCGGGTTTTTTTGGCACCTGTATCGGTGCTTTTTTTTTTTTTTTTTTTTTTTTTTTTTTCCATTTTGGCCGATGGCCGACAGCGGTGTTTTCGGCCGAAATGTT